AATATAGGCAAACATGACTTGCTTCCAGGTTGGTGTACACCCACCACTGCAAATCTTCACATTTACTCTTTACACTTTTAGACATGCACTTAAACAATGTTAGTTACACAGACCTAAAAAAACAAGTTATAAAGCATCCTTTACTGTAGTCACTTGTTAACTAAATGAAAGTACTGTATGGATGAACTGGCAGGGGCAAAACTGAACCTTGTGCTCTTTCTGCTGGCAAAGAAAAACTAAATTACTTAGTTAACATTTTGGTGACCAAATCTTAAAATCAACATTTATAACTGTGGGAATCAACTAACATCATCTCAGATCAAGATCTGGCCACAACTATTGAAACTATAGCAAAATAAAAAGCTTTTAAAGCACAGCACACAGCATGTTTAGACAGGACTTTCCTTAGCTGTTTGTGTGGAGTATATCAGCCATGCACTTGAACTTGCTATACTTGATCTCTAAAACTATTAATTTCAGCTTAAGAGCTAGAGGACAGATTAGACTCTAGATACAACAGCTTTTAAGACTTACTAACAGCAATCCACTGACATCAAAGAGGCACCTGTAAAATTACAATTGTATACAATGTATTATCAGACCAAAACATTGAAGGCAGTGAACTTATTCTACATGATTTTCCCAAATACTAGTTACTTTCTAGACCTAGCCAAGTGTTAAACACACCAGCCATGTCACACTATGTAGCCCTAACAAAAAACTGTGCTTGCTAACTAGTCCCACCTCCTGACATCTGCGCATACAGTACAAACGTATGCAGCTCAGATGTTGATCTTGCCCATAACACCATCAGGTAATTCAAGATTAGAGGGGTGTGTGTTATTGTACCAGTTTAGCAATGAGATTTATATCGCCTCCATCCCCCATGGTCATTGTAACCCGCTGGAGTTCTAGCTTCAAATGTTGGGTTGCAATTCTGTGCACCGTTATGCCTTTGTCACTTATTAAAAGGAAATTTACATACATAAGAGATTGCAAAACCTTAAGAGCTGAAATAACAGAGTTTGACAGAACTTGAATATTCTGTGGAGGTCAGCAAGCTAAAGAAACCAAGAGACTGACAGTACCCAAACCAGAGTAATTCTTATAGGAAGTAAAGATGACCTTATCATGTACACATTTGTCCAAAGCAGAACCTAATCATATGCAGTTGGGCGAGAGTTCCATTGCACAGGGAGACATTTTTCCTCTTACTCTACGCTGACAGAGGAAGCGATGGTAAATACACACTGCAGGGTTATTTATAGGCAATTGGGCTACTAGAACTAGGCAGCTATACCTCGCTTGTCTGGTAGATGCTTCACTTACCTTGCCTAGGACAGTTTTAGCCATTCCATTACTGCAGGCAGAAAGGCAAACAACAGAATCTTGTGGCCCCTTAAGGACTAGCAGATTCACTGTGGCATAGGCTTTCACAGACCACACAGTCCACTAACTTTGTGCCGTAATTTGGCTCAGTGGTACTCAGCTGAAATTGGATGTTCACTGATTTCAATAGGTCGACTCTGTAAAAATCTTAATTGAATGCCACCTTTTGTCTTTTAAGTTGCCCCAGGACTCCTGGTAGCTTGTGCTACCCTTCTGGAAATGGTTACAACAGAAAAGGAAATCCCTTACAAAAGAGATTTTCCTTCTACAGCAAGCAAGAGGCATTGGAAAAATGTTCTTTATTTGAGTTCACAAAGCAGTGAAAGTCAACCCTAGCTGGTTTTAATATAAAAGGGTAGGGAGGAAGAAAGCCGAAGGCTCTGTAACAATATTGCTCAGCTTAATAATCTTTGAAATAAAGGAATATTTACAGAGCTTCAGCAAAAATCCTCCTCCCCCAGTATTGCGAAGACCACCATTCAAGCAATATGATAGGACTTAATAAAAACTACAATTATTATTTTTAATTTCTTGCTCTTCCATTCTTAAGTTATTGGGTTATTATCAACGCCATGAGTCCAAAAAGGTTATGTTTCCATTCTAGAGATAACCTGAAAAGAAGAAAGGCTCCAATACCTTTCCTGTTTTGTATCTCTCACAAACAGCACGTTTACTTGAAAGTATATCCAAATGTATTCAATGGGATTTCTCCCAATACAAGTGTTTGTGTGTGGTTGTTCCTTCAGTTCTAAGCAATTGCTGAGAGAAGGAAGAACAAACAGGTAAATCATCTCCAGCTATTGACTGCTGAATCCTCTGCCAGTTCTATTACCAGCTTCTTATATTAGGTTATCTTAAGCTGTGGAATTAGAAATTACACCTTTCCCCACTGCACATCTAAAGTTAATGTTTCTCCTATCAGCTCACTCCGAAACCTTTATTATTTCTGATGGTTGTCTCAGTTTCACTGAAGAAAGCAAAATGCAATGCTGAAATCTAAAGTGACTCCAGAGCTTAGCGTGGCTTAAATCCATCCAAAGAAGAGTCAAAGGAAAACATTGGCCCTGCACATATTTGATTCTATAGGGTGCTGTGCCAATTCTGAGCAAAGCAGACAAAAAACGGGCATAGGGAAAGCCTCAGAGGACACAATCAGCAAAGAGGCTACTGTGAAGCATATAGTAGCGAATGGTATACTGGGTGCTGTTAAGTGATGAAACCACCAGGAAAGAATCATAACAACATCCCTAGTGCCTGTTAGAACTGCTTGGTCTCCCTGAAAAACAAGCTTCGTGCAATCTCACTTTCTGGACCATTGTTTCTTGGGGCCCGAGGTAATGACTGTCCTTATACCATCCTTCTCAAGTTCACTGAACATCCAAACATCAACAAAAGCAATGTGTACGCAGGTGCCTTAAGCACACACATGACTTTCTTTGAAGTTCTGTTGTGAAACTGAGAATTACAGAGCATTAAGTGAGGCATCGCCACATAATTTGAATGCAGTATTGTTGCAAGAATGTACTGGTGTTTTTGACCTAGAAAACATGGGCCCATTGTCTTATGCTTCCATCTTTCACTAATAACCTAGAGTCAATGAAGCCCAGGTATCAAATACAGTTTTTTAGTGTGGAAAATGTCTTCAATAACTGTAACCTGAATTTAATTTAATTTAATTCACACAGCAGTAGCAAATATACAACTCTGCATGATTTCTTTTTTTTAAAAAAAAGGATATTGGGGAGTTTTAGACTATGATATAAGAAAGAAAAAATAACTTTCAGGAAAAAAATAACTGGGAGTGGTTAGTGTGTCAAAATAGGACCTGGGAGACCAGAGTTCAAACTACCACTCATACATGAAGTTCAATGGGCCAGTCGGAACATCTCAGCGTAACCTACCTCACAGGGTTGTTGTGGTGATTAAATGAGGCAGAGGAGACAGCAGCGTAGCAACCCCTGCCAGCACCTGGGGTGGACCAAAGGTGTTGATCTTTTTCCACATATCTAGCATTTTTGAAGGATGAACAATGGCTCTGCCCCCCTGCAGCTCTCCTGCTGCCAGGCAGCCCCCCCCCGATGCCCAGTAGCCACTGTGCCACCCCCCGCCCCTGCCTAGCTGCGCCACTGGGCAGAGAACCATGTACAGTGGTACCTCGGGTTAAGAACTTAATTTGTTCTGGAGGTCCGTTCTTAACCTGAAACTGTTCTTAACCTGAAGCACCACTTTAGCTAATGGGGCCTCCCGCTGCTGCCGCGCCGCCACTGCGCAATTTCTGTTCTCATCCTGAAGCAAAGTTCTGAACCTGAGGTACTTTTTCTGGGTTAGTGGAGTCTGTAACCTGAAGCGTCTGTAACCTGAGGTACCACTGTACTGCACTTTGAGCCCCTTGGGGGAAAGGTGAAGCATAAGTGCAACAAATAACATAAAAGGTATTCCAGCAGAGAAGTACGGGAGACAACAATATCAGATGCTTACTAGACATAAATTGGGGCAGGGGTGGAATGAAGACCCTGAAATAGGCTCTCCATAGAATTTAACCATTATCCAAGCTCCCGAAAGCTAAAGTTAGTTCCCCATCTCAGATCATCTTGTGTTAGACCCCTGCCTTATTTCACTATACTGTATAAAGTTGGTGAGTAGTAAATTGAAAACATGGATATACGCGGGTGGCAAAGTAATTTTCACTTGTTCAACTTCTTCCCAAAGCTACAGTTAAAAAATGTATCAGTATCTAGTTTTGCAAAGTCACTACTGTACATATTATGTCATTCTACCTGCAGACTTGCAATGCACTTTAGTGAAGAAGACTGTGTTTCAGTCTCTGCAAGCAACTTCTTATGACACAAGGTATACCGACTGTATTAGAAAACCAGGTCCTTATGTTTAAATGATATATCTGCTAAAGGCTGTTTGTACTATTAAAAAAAAGTGTGTGTGAGTGTGTGTGGGGGAGAGAGAGAGAGAGAGTATACACACATGCACACACAAACCTTGTTCACAGTAAATATTTAGCCTAAGTTCCAATACACTTTTTGCCCTATAATGCAGAAAGTGCCTTAAATACTTTTCATACTGCAGTAGCACATATATATATAACCTTATTAAATACTGGTGGGAAGCAACAGGTTCAGCTTTGATAAATATCTATCTATTTCAAAAGTTTTAAGAGGGTTTCTACAAGCCTAGTTAAAACAGCCATAACACTGATAGGAACAAAATATTTGTTTTAAATGCAACATAAGTTGTTCAACATATCCAGTGCTAGTAGCATAGTTGGTTGTAGCAAGATGTAACCCATTACTGTTTCAAATGCATTGTTACAATGGTTATATAATAAATTGTTGCACACACAAATCTGAAGTCGTAAACTTTACCAGGCAAAGAGTGGATTTCCTATCATATTGTGCAAGAATCTCTTCCACAGAAAATTTGCCTACACAGCTGACTTACGCACAGCATTTCCAGTGGTTCATAATTCTACAAGAGGCAAATAAGCAGTGTGCACAACATGAAACTCCTCTGGGCATATAGAACATTTGTTTCTCTTTTGTAGGCGAGAATGGGAAACCTAGATAGATAGGTATAGATAGATAGATGATAGATAGATATAGATCAGGCATAGGCAAACTCCAGCCCTCCAGATGTTTGGGACTACAATTCCCATCATCCCTAACCATTGGTCCTGTTAGTTAGAGATGATGGGAATTGTAGTCCCAAACATCGGGAGGGCCTATGCCTGAGATAGATAGATAGACAGATAGATAGATAGATAGATAGATAGATAGATAGATAGATAGATATGGCCAACAACTCAACAGACACTTTGCCTGTAGAAAACCTAATGAAAGAAATGGGTTTCTTTCAAACCTTGTGCAGCTGGTGTCCCTGCATCAATCCCTCCTACTGTAACGGGGAACTGAACGAATTGCTTTTGGGAGACTTGTCTACTCATAATGAAAATAAAAGTTTCATGAAGGCAAGTATTGATTTGTTTTTCAGCTTTAAGGAACTTCAGTTCTGGCGACAGAATGAGTGTGCTCACTTTTGTAATGGGCTTCCAACCTCAGTGGAGCTTGACAGCTTGTTTAAGATTTTGACTGGATTCAGTATGCCAGAGCAGAAGAGAAAGAGCACAGAGCCTGCATGTAGCACAAATAGAGTACGGAAGCAGAGTTTTTGGAGAGGATCTTGCTGGCAATCTAGCCCCTTGCTGGATGCAGGAAATTCAGAGTTAGAGCACACACACACACACACACACACACACACACACCCAACAGCTGGCTGTCTAACCTCTACTTGAAGACCTCCAGCAAGAGAGATACCTCTGCTCCCAAGTAATTGGTCCCAGTGCCAAATTTCTCCATTAAAAGTTTATCCTACTGTTCAACCAAAATCAAACGTCTTTTAACTTAATCCATTAGTTCTGGTCCTGTCCTCTGGGGAGCAGAGAGCAACTATTTGCCCTCTTTTCTGCAATGGTCCTTAGTTAAATGAGGAGTCCTATCATGTAACCCCCCCCCCCATCCTCTTCTCCAGCCTAACCATACCCAGTTCCTTCAACCTTTGCTAACAGGGAAAGCAAGCCCTATCTCTGAACATCACCCCACTTTTTCCTCATCCTTACACTCTTTCATTATTTCCCGATTTAATATTTCTTTTGTGAATTCAACAAGCAAGCACTGAGAAATGGGGCACAGCATCTTCTACCTGAACACAATATTAGAATCGAACATATCCTCAGTCTAGACCAGCCTTTCTCAACCTTGGGCTCCTGCGTGTTGTTGGACGACAACTCCCATCATCCCTTGCTAGCAGGACCAGTGGTCAGGGATGATGAAAGTTGTAGTCCAACAACAAGGTTGAGAATGACTGGTCTAGACAGATGACATAATGAAACATCAGAACCACTATGCGATGAAACATCTACCACCAAAATATATCCTAGCTTCATGCTGTAGAACTGTCCCATGGCACAAGAGAGGTGTGTTGCAAGCAAGATGAAAGGGGGAGGAAAATCACTAAGACCTAAAGTTATTCTAGCCACCAGAGAGCCACCTTTATCTTTGCGGAGATATGCCCACTGGATGGTGCAGCAATAAGTAATTAGTAAAGATTTGCCCCAGTTCTTTGGCACAGGTTGCAACTATAAAGCATGTAATTAGGATCAGGACATTGTAGTGAGAAACAATAAGAGCAGCCTCGTTTCCACATAAGATTAGTGAACACAACACTTTCAAAGGAAGCCGATTTACAAGTCCAGTGACTACATAAATAGCAAGACACACCCACTGGCTTTCACAGGTCCAAAAAAAATGCAAACATCCAAACTGTTCCTCCAACCACAATGGGTAATACGAAATCCAACTCTTATGTTCCTTCCAATATATTTCACAACTATTTCACACAAGATGAGGCAAGAACCAGAGTCTATCAGATGTAAGCTTTGCAAGTGCCAAGGAAAACAAAAAAACAAAAATGGCAGAAGAGAGCTACAAAAAATTTAAAAACAAACGTATTAGAGTATCTTCATGATAGCTACAGGGATACTCTAATTAAGCAAAACAAATACAGTGCCAGAAAAGGTCAGGCCAATATCAGTTGCAGAGGAACTTCAGTAATAAAACTAAAAGGTGGGGGCATTTGTCAGGACAAATGGATAACTACCGAACCCATTTCACCCTAGCATTTCACCTAACAGGATTTTCCAAAAAGGTGTCTCCCCTCTTCATTTGATAGGTCATTGGTCTCCAAACACAGGCAATTAGTACAAATTCAGAACTCAGGAAACCCAAATGCAACTTCTCTAGAGGAGTGCATTTTCTCTCTCATTTCAAGGAGCACAGAACTGAATTTCTCAGACTATTGATTAACCCGATATGCCTGTCTTGGGAGGCCAGGTGAGCTGTCAGATAATGAGGAAGGAGGAGGAGGAAGGCAGACCTCTCCCCCTCCCCTTCTTTTCGGTTTAAAGAAGAACCTGCAAAGGGCAGAGGTGAAGTGTCAGGCTGAAGTAGGTACAATAGACAAGATACACGAGAGAGAAAGACGACAGAGGAACGGGGGAGCGGGCACCAGCAAGACAGACCACCGCCCCAAGACGTTGGGAAGGGCAAGAAACTCCACAGTGGGGAAGACTTAAAAGGCTCGGAGGAATCTCCCTTCCTGAGACTTGGTAGGAAAGGGGGCACCTCTCCCGAGAGCCTGCTCTCCGCAGCCAATGTGCGCGTGTGCCTGGGGAGGAGCTGTCATTGCTCTGGCTCCTGCTGTGGCAACCAGAGAGAGATGGGGGGGAGCGCGCAGGGGGGGGGGAGCCTGGCACGTGCAGCCCCTGCGCCTGGCCGGGCAGAGCCTCCCCCGCCCCCTCACCTCAAGGTGGGTCCCACACAGGCCGTCTCGGTGCTCTCAATCTCCTGCAGGATCCGCTCATGCTCCGGCAGGCTCTCCGCCATCTTGGATGGGAGGGAAGCGAGCGGAGGCGCGCAGAGGGAAAGGGCGAGAGCGAGGAAAGCGAGGCAGCCCGCGGGGGAGGGAGGGAGGCTCCAAGGGGCGGGGCGAGCCGCTGCGCAGAGGAAGCGAGCCAATCAGCGAGCCGGAAGGAGCCGTCGACCTTCGGAGGTGCCCGCCTCCTGCAGAACTCCCTGGGGCGCGCGGTGGCCCGGACTGGGGCGCGGGGCGCTCCTGCTGTGGCAGCCGGGGAGCTGGGGCAAGGAGCCTTCCCTCGCTGCGGGTCGGGGAGGCGCTGGAAGGCGCGGGGTTGCTGAGCACCAAGGAGCTCCTAATTTGGAGTCAGTGGCACAAAGTTCAAGGGGACGTCCTTCCCCGCCCAGAAAGCCTGTTTCCAGCCAATGGGCTGGGGGCCTAACTCTGCGCATAGCGCTAGGCTCTGCCCAGCTCCGCGCCTGTTAATTCCCTTTCTCCAACCTGTCCCTGCAGCCCGATCCTGTGCGTGCGTATTTGGAAGCAAGGGTGCTAACTTGAATAAAATATAAGGGGCAGGTGAGCCCCTTCCTGCACAATTGATCACGTAAAGTGGTGCACGTACACCATCTAAATGGCAATGTGCATTAACTTGGGTGGCCGATCCCGTCAAATATTTTATTAGAGGGGGCGAAGCGACTTCGGCCCCCAGGAGTTGGCTCCTATGCTTGGAAGTAAGTCTTGCTCGCGCTTACTTGGAGGTATTCGCCAAGAAGCCTGCTTACATGGAATTGCTGAGTCCAACGGGACTTACCCAGCCTGACAGCCCAGTCCTAGGCAGAGGTCGGCGCACCAAACCCCAACCGGGGAGGGAGGAGGGGCATCACACACTTAGATGCTCCTACCTCTGTATAGGACTGCTCTGCGCGTCTAAAACGACTTGGAGGCGCTTCCAGACGACCTGTTCGTTGAGCATTCGTCCTGATTGGTCTGCAGAGATATTAGACGGACGATGTTGGCTGTTGAATGAGCGTTCCCTCTTGTTTGTTTACGGGGAGGTACTTCGCGTCGCTTTCCTTATCGCAAACGTTTGATCTTTGGAAGCAGGTTTGTGGCAGAAAAGCTCCCACTCCTCCACAACCTGGATTTGTCGGTATGTGGGCTGAATCCCACCTGAAAATATCGGCAGTCTGGAAACGCCCTCAGATGGTCGCTGAGGTTCTGTCTTTAGAAGAGGTGGGTGGGATGGGTGTCTAGTTATCCTACGCTAAAACGGTACTCTGCACACTCTCAATGGGTCTCTCCTTTTTATAACAACACCTTCACATATCCCAGAGTAGAACACTAACAGCGCAAACACTTTCTTGATAAATACTTATTTGCATTTATCACTTTGAGCCACTGTATCTGGAAATGGGTTGGTAAATACCTCATAGGTGTAAGAAGGAGAGAGGGTAAGGCAGTACAAGCTCTTTGAACTGAAAAAGGCAGGGACCAAAATAAAAATATATATGTTAAATTGCTTTGGTTTCTCATAAAGCTAGGCCCAGTTGACGTCCTCCTATTCTTACTTGCAGTTCAACCTGAAACACTATTCAGATGAGGAAAGGGCAACAGGAAGAAACAGGTCAACTGGATAGAGGGATGTTAAAGGGTAAAGGGACCCCTGACCGTTAGGTCGAGTCGCGGATGACTCTGGGGTTGTGGCACTCACCTTGCTTTATTGGCCAAGGGAGCCGGCGTACAGCTTCCGGGTCATGTGGCTAGCATGACTAAGCCGCTTCTGGCGAACCAGAGCAGCGCACGGAAACGCCGTTTACCTTCTCGCCAGAGTAGTACCTATTTATCTACTTGCACTTTGATGTGCTTTCAACTGCTAGGTTGGCAGGAGCAGGAACCGAGCAACGGGAGCTCACCCCATCGCAGGGATTCAAACCGCCGACCTTCTGATTGGCAATCCCTAGGCTCTGTGGTTTAACCCACAACGCCACCTGCATCCCTCCAGAGGGATGTTAGGGTTGCCATATTTTGAAGAACAACAACAACAAAAAAGACACATTCGCCAGTGCCTGGGGCAGGAGGGGAAGGGGAGCGGGTGCAATCTACAACGTCCCTTCAAAATATACCAAAACAACATAAAAAGTAGCCTGCTCTCACACCCCCGGACAGTTCGGCAAATTCAAGAATTCCACCCAGACAGAAAATTTACCCCTTAAAAAGAGGACATGTCCTAGAAAAAGAGGACATATGGCAATCCAAGAAACATCCTCCTATCCTCACAGAACCAGGAGGGGAAGGAGGCAGTGTTGCTACTATGGTTCTTCCAT